AAAGCCGGGAGAGAAATAGTATGTGAGGAGGAGGAGGAGGATCCTCTTCCTCTTCCTCTTCCTCTTCCTCCTCCGCAGTGGATTTCGCCTGGCTCAGAGTCAGACGCTGCAGTAGGCGGCGCCGTCCACAGGAGGGCGCCCTTCACTAGCCTTCCTTCCTTTCGCGGCGGCAGCGGGGTCCCTCGGCGGCTCCAGGTGCGCGGCGGAGCGCAGGCGGAGCGCAGGCGGTGGGGGCGGCCTTGCCTTTGGCCGTGTCCCCGGGGCAGCCGCTGGGAGGGAGAGACGCGGCTGAGTCACCACCGGCCCGGCTGGCCCTGGCCCTGGCCCTGGCTCTTTCCCGGGGGTCCCGGCCGACCGGCAGAAAGAAGGAAGGAAGGAAGGAAGGAAGGGGTCGCCGCAGACAGGCCAGGCCAGGCCAGGCCAGGCCAGGCCAGAAGGAGGCAGGCCTCGCAGGCCCAGGCCTCGCAGGCACGTCCTCCTTGCCCAGGACCTGCCCTACATTTCAGCCTTCTGGCCAGGACAGGGTGACCAGGCATGTCCTCCTTTCCCAGGACTTGTCCTGCTACCTTTCGGCCTTCTGGCCAGGACAGGGTGACCAGTTAGTTGTCCTCATTGCAAAGGCACAGCAAAATGGAAGGCATGACCCAATAAAAGCTTAAAACACACACATAGGACCTTATCACACGCTGGCCACGAAGCGAAAAGTAACCGAAATAAGAATAAATTCAGTTCTATACCGAAATGAACTGAAAGAGCTCCCCGCAATATGTGAATGCCTACCACACGCAATTACCGCCATAGCGCAATTATCGAATTGGGAATGCATAGAATTGGGAATGCATAGAATTGGGAATGCATGCTCCAAATGGAGGACATGTTGGGATTCTTCCTGGACAGAAGGTGGAAAAGGAGGGCGGCTGGTCACCCTGGTCTAGGAGGCATTCCAACATCTCCTCCATTTGGAGCATCACCAAGAAGCATGAATTCACATTTATAGGAGTGTTTTTTGCTTTTATTTTGTCATGTCTTCCATTTTTTCATGACTGTCCTCCATTTGGCGGTGCCTTGCCCTTTTTTTGTGGTGGGACATCTGGTCGCCCTGTCCTCCTTCCACACACACACACCAAGAAAGCAAGCCCCCCCCCAGATGTCCACCTTTTCCCAAGACCTGTCCTACATTTCAACTTTCTGTCTAGGAGGAATTACAAGTCCTACATTTTTCTTGAATGCCCTCCATTTTGCAGTGGCTTGGACTCCTTGGGGGTTACAGTTGGCCCTTCATATCTGCAGGGGTTCCTTTCAAGACCCCCCTCCCAGGAGGTAACAAAAAATGCAGGACCTCAAGTCCCACTGTTCCTAATGGCGCCATGCCACATGTGCAAGGCCACATGGATGCGCCATCATTGAGGCGAATGAGGCAGTGCCATCTGTGGATGCTCAAATCCCTGGGAGGCAAGAGCTGACTGTATGACATCTGGTCACCCTGCTCGAGTCTCTACTTTCGAGTCGAGTCTCAAGTCCTTGCAAGATATTTTAAAGTCTCAGCTCTGGGAGCCAACTTTTAAAAAGGAGGTGGGGTGTATTTCTCGGAGGGGAACAGCCGAGGCATTAGGCAATGGGCTTGAGGCAGTGGTTGGGGTCTGCTTGGCAGCCTGTCCCTGCTGCACACCAGAGGAGCCTTCTAAAGCTTTTCAGAAGCTTTAGAAGGATCCTTCCACCTCAAGCCTATTGCCTAAAGTATTTGCTGTTCCCTTCCAAGAAATTGCCCTGCACTTTGCAGGGAGGTCTTGCCTGCTGCTTGAAATGAATGGCACTAGCAAGTCAGTCACTAAAAAATACAAGTCTCAAGTCAGGTCAAATCAGTCTGTCATTTTTTGCCAAGTCAAGTCCAACTTAAGTCTGACTTAAGTCCAAGTCGATTGACTCAAGTCTGCATCATTGCTACCAATCCAGCTGTGGAGGACACTCTTTGGCCACCAAGGAAGGGAGAACAGGAGCCAGGCAGCCTTGGCCACCACCTCCTTCCCCAAGTGTATGAACAAAACAAAGGTGTTTTTTTTTTAGCGGGGGGGTGTCTGTTAATTTTTTTCACAAAATAATCAATACATTTGACTAACAACATTTTTTGTTGTTGTGCCTTCAGGTCATTTCCAACTTACAGCGACCCTAAGGTGAACCTATCATGGATTTACTTGGCAAGATTAGTTAAGAGGAGGTTTGCCATTGCCTTCTCCTGAGGCTGAGAGAGTGTGACTTGCTCAAGGTCACCCAGTGGGTTTCCATGTTTGAGCCAGGATTCTAATCCTGGTTTCCAGAGTCATAGTCTAATGCTCAAACCACTACACTGGCTCCCGGATGTGTAGAACAACATACGATAACATATAATAATGTAACAAATAACACACATACAACTTTACTTTCTTAAAAAAATCAGCCAATAATAATACTAAATTACTTCCTATTCTCTATTTTTTTTGGATATTTTCTAATATTCATAATCCCTTTAATAACTAGAAAGTAAAATGACAATATTCTTTTGCCGCAGGTAAACTTACCATATTTATATGGTATAAATATTAAAGAAACAAGCTCTTTACCTATTTAATAGTATCTATTTTCATGTGCATCTATTTTTATATATTCATATGTGAAAATTGTATCTATTTTCATTTTGTTAGAACAGAATACGGCTGCATCCTTTCACCCTACCAGTTCAATCTGTATGCAGAAAATATAAAGAGCTGGCTTGGACACAGGAGGAGGAGGAGGAAGAGGAGGAGGAAGTAATGTCAATATTCTGAGATATGCAGATGAGATCATACTACTAGCATGAAATATCACAGATCTGGAACAACTGCTAAGAAAGATCAAAGAAGAAAGTGCAAAGGCAGGCTTACTGCTCAACATAAAGAAAACAGAAATAATGACCATGGAAGGTCTACACAGATTCAACATAGATAATGAAGAAATTGAAATAGTAAGAGTTCCTGTACCTTGGATCAAACATTGATCAGAATGGGGACTGCATGAAAAAACTAGAAAAGATCCTAAAATGCAAAGATATACAACTGAGCACAAAGGTTAGAATCATACAAGCCATTGTTTTCCCTGTTACCATGTATAGTTGCGAGAGCAGGACAATTAAGAAAGAAGAGAGGAGGAAAATCAATGCATTTGAGATGATGTGCTGGAGAAGAGTACTGAGCATCCCATGGACAAACAAAAAGACAAACAAATGGGTCCAAATCAAGCCGAAAACCTTCCTTGGAAGCCAAGATGACCAAACTGAGGCTGTTGTACTTTGGACACATCATGAGAAGAGAGGACTCTTTGGAAAAAACAACAATGCTAGGAAAGGTGGAGGGAAGTAGAAAGAGAGGAAGGCCACATGCTAGATGGATGGACTCTTTTAAGGAGGTCATGAGTATGAGTTTGCAGGAACTAAGCAGAGCAGTCGGGATCTTGGAGCTTTCTCATCCACAGGGTCACCATGGGATTGGGATCGACTTGAGGGCAATTGACAACAAGAAATGTATTCATTATTTATTTATTACTTCCCTCAACCTAGACACTTCTAAAGTCCAAAG